TTGGTATTTTGTCCATTCGCTGTATTCATAATGGGCAACCTAAGCAGATGGGTCTAAAGGAGTTGCTGCAGGTGACTACCTAAGTTTAGTCTCTTTAGTATAAATGCCCACCCACTGACCCACTTGCTCACTCATGCGTATATGCTATTTTAATATATTTGTAGGTAAGCTATTTCAAGAAAATGTTTTTCTTGCTGGAATTTGTTTTCCTTCAAGAAATCATTTTGTAATTCCCGCTACTTGGGCTGCTGCTTTCATCAGTTCTTACTTGACTTTATATGGTTTTTTATGTGTTTTTGTTTTTACTGCACTGCTTCGTCTCCTTTAATGTTAGTATTATTTGTAGAGGAACCACATGAGGCACTTTTAGGTACTGACAGTTTGACTAGTATCGTAGTGTCTTTGAAAAAATTGACGAGGTGATGCGTTGAAATCAACTACAATTTGGGAAGTGTTCTTGGATAGTGAAATTCTTATGATTTATTTGAACGCATTCAAAACTTAAAAGCAGAAAGGTATTGTCCAAACTTTGAAGAGACCTCAATGTTGAAAGAAAAAGATAAACTGTCAAGAGGCCATCATCTGAAGATATATGCCTTATTAAATTGCCATTTGAGTAATTCAAAAATATGTTGTTGATCTAGTGTGGCAAACTTTTTGGTAATTCAAAAATACTTCACTTCCACGGGTTGGCAAACTTGTTGTTGACCTATTAACTATGTAATTCTATTCAGCAAAACGTTCATTGGAAAATATAGATTCTGATTTCAGGGATAATGTTTTTGCTCTGCTTTCATATTACTCTGTTGGGACATTTAATGGCTTCAAATCTTGGATAGTTTGTCTTACCTCATACCTATCTGGTTACTGTTTTTTATTTAATTTTACTCTTTTGGTTTTAAAGCATGCAGGGAACGGTTAATATTTGGTTCTTCACTCCTAAGTATTGATGCTTAACTCATTCATTGTTGTATTGAGATTATGATATTCTAGCATTAAGATATTGGTAGCTTGTCTTTGTGTACTGCTGTGTTATTGTAACTATTTTACTGGATTTATATTTATGTCACCACACTACAACTCATAGTTCATATGTGTTTTCTTGTTGAAATAGGCATTGTTGTGGGCCTGGATAATTTGGATGCAGTAATACGTATACTAAGAGAATCTTCTAGCAATGCAATTGCATCATCTGGTCTAAGGAGCGGTGAGCTCCCCTATGTTTTTGAGTTTTTTCATTTTCTTCAGCTTGAGTAGAAGTGGTGGTTCAAAAGCACTGAGACATGATTTTCTGGCTTTGTCATTAAACTTCTATTCTACATGCGTTGTTTTTCTGTTTTTTGGCTTTCTAGCTTCTGCTGCGAAGAACTTTTTTTGGTGCAGTAGATTTTTTGTCATGAGCTTTGTGTTTGCTTCTTTTGATCAATGAAATTTCTTTCCTACGGTTTAACTAATCAGAACCTTCCAATAATCTGTTATTTTTTTCGAACTTGGTTCGTAGGAGTAGGGTTTATTTAATGCCTTACTTAGCGAGGCTTTTTTGGGAGTAGATGAGAGTTCCAGTTCAGTAACAGAATGTAATCATGTTTTCCAATTTTGTTATTCAAATTTCCTTGATGTCTAGGGTTTGGTTTTCTTTGAAATCAGCTCTGGAATGCAGACTTTTTTATCTGTATTCTGTCCATACCCTGGTGTTTTGATTTCCTTTTTCTTAAATGTATTCCGTAGCGAATCAACTGTGTTCAAAGATCTGTTTCCCAAGCTGAAGCCGTGAAATATGGGCCTCCTATTGCCAATTGATTTTGGGTTGAATGCTCTAATTTGAAAACTTAACAATAACTTGTGAAGCCATATATAACTCTAGTTGCAAGATTCCCCAGCTTACACCTTACCCAGTTTCGTGTCTGAATTTTTCATTACACATTATGTTTAGACATACGTATCGATTCCCGTATTTCTATATATGTGTCTGAATTCTTCCCCATGTTTTGAAATAAATCTACTGAGTTATACACTTTTGTATTATATATTTCTTCTGATTATTGTACATAGTTTTAAGACTCTGTTTTGTAATCCTTCAGATAATTTTTTCCAATGCGCTTCTTTGTATTATATTATTTTCAAAAGTGCACATTTGATTAGGTCGGACCTCCTGCGCCACGCCCCTGTTAAGGCAGTGTAGAATGCATTTAATTGGGTTGGAAGTGGGATGTTGATCATTTGTTGATTTAAAAACCTGTTACGGAAAAAAATTGGGTGCATAGGCTGTCTTTGTATCATCATTTTCACCTTTTTTCATCTACCCTTAAATGTTCTTAAGATGACTATCATACTGTTTATAGGGAAGATACTTTAATTGCCTCCATATGGTTCAAATTGAATTACAATTTTGTTTTTATATTTTTTTTATTTCAATCAGTTGATTGAACAAGAAGCAAATGAGTTAAAAAGCAAGTTTTCCAGTCCAAGGCGTTCAATGCTGGAGGAAATGCTTTTCCAGATGATAGTGGCCACCTTGATGACATAGATGTTATTCCAGATGATAGGCGTTCAATGCTGTTTAATTTTTTATTAATTAATTTAATGTTTTGTTTATTCAATGCTTTTCAAGATTTTGTTTGTATTTATTTTTCATTATATATGTCATGGAAGAGAAATATTGGAATATCTATTATATTGGTTTGTTTATTTTCCTTGGTTTTATTGTTTGGTTACAGTGTAAAATTGTTTTATTTTGTTATACTTACTGGGTATCCTTATTTTCCCTTTAGAATAGGGAAAGTAGCTTTGGTTTCAGAAAGACTGCAAGCTTCTTATATAAAAAAATATACTTGGTCTCAATTAGTATACGTATTACCGGATGAACTATAAAAAAATTGGGTGTTAAAGTTAGAGTAGAAAGA